TTGAACTGAGCGTGGGATATCTATATGATCAGATAGGTTCAGGACTCATTTTTAGGGCTTTTGAGACACGACCACTTTTTATTGATAATGCATTATATGGTGTAAGTGGTAAGTATGACCTTGGCAAATCATGGAATGTTATGGCATTTGCTGGAAGACAAAAAAATGCTTTTGAGACTTATACAGGTAATCTGAAAGGACTTAGATTGGAAGGATTTTTGAGTTTTGGTGAAGAAAGTCCACTCACCTTAGCACCAGGATTTGGATTTGTAAATAGGACGATCTCAGATGAAAATATGGAAGGTGTAGTGAACTCACTCAGAACATATCAGACTGAAGATAGATTTAAACCTAATCATAATGCATATTCAGGTACATTTTATAATACCTTGAGCTACAAGTCGATATCATTATTTACTGAAGTGGCACTTAAGTCAAATGATATTTATTACAATGCATTTGCTAAAAAAGCAGAACTCGTAGGTAGTAGCATAGGCAAATTGGAGCAAAAACCAGGTTCTGTACTTTATGCCAGTCTGTCTTATGCATCAGGTAAACTCGGTGTGACAGGTGAAGTAAAAAGAACAGAGAGCTTTAACTTTAGGATAGACCCTAATTTACAATTGATCAGGGGATTGGTTAATTATTTAGTGCCACTTAACAGACAAAATACCTATAGGCTTACAGCTCGATATAGTCCTGCTGCTCAAGATATATCTGAAATGGCTTATGTCATGGATGTAAAATATAAATTTAGCAAGGCATTAAGTGCCGGTGTTAATTATTCTGATATTAAAACTTTAGAAGGCGACAGGTTATTTCAGGAATTATTTACTGAAGTGATATACAAGCACAAAAGAAAATGGCAATTGACATCTGGTATACAATTTTTGACTTATAACCAGGAAAGATATGAGATGAAATCTGAAGTGCCACTGGTAAAAACAATCACGCCGTATGTGGACTTTTTGTATAAATTTAGCCCATCACAAGCACTAAGGACAGAATTTCAGTATATGAAAACTGAACAAGATTTTGGAAGTTGGTTGTTTGGATTAGCGGAATTTAGTATTGCACCTAGATGGATTTTTGAAGGATCTGTTATGTACAATATTGATCCTAAAAAAGCAAATTCAAAAGGTGATAAAGAAAAAACCCTATATCCTACTTTTGGTCTTGTATTTTCACATGATGCTCAAAGATATAGCTTGCGTTATGTAAAACAAGTAGAAGGAATCGTGTGTAGTGGCGGTATTTGTCGTCTAGAGCCAGCATTTAGCGGAATCCGATTTAATATGAATACAACATTTTAATATTTCAAAAAAAAATAACCATATGAGACAAATCAATAAAATATTCATTTTTGTGATCGCGGCTATCACCATCTATTCTTGTAATGAAATTATGCTCAATATCGAAGATCCAGTGATTCCAGAATCTGATCGTGTTGTATTGATCGAAGAGCTCACCGGTGCTAGTTGTCCGAACTGTCCAAAAGGAAGTGCGGCTATAGAATTTATATTATCTCAATTTCCAGGCAAAGTTGCCGTTGTCGGTATTCATGGTGATTTTCTAGCACAACCTATCAAAGACAAAAGTAAGTATGATTTTAGAAATCAAAAAGCAAAAGATCTGGAAAACTGGTTAAAACCTTGGTATGGAAAACCTGCTGCAACTACCAATCGAATATTGACAGAAGACGATCAAGAACCTTATGCAATCAGTAGTCCTGATTTATGGTACGCTGAAGTAGCAAAAGAACTTCAAAAGCCTCATCAAATGAATATTCTTTTGGCAGTTGATTATGATGAAAATAAAAGAACGATTGACCTTGATGTAACTGCAATTCCATTAGTTGATTTAGCAGGAAATTATAATATCAGCGTCTATCTAACAGAATCAGATATCATTGATGCACAATCCAATGGATCAGAATACGTAGAAGACTATGAACACAAACATGTATTGATGGATATGATGACCAATGCTACGGGTGATAGTTTTGGGACTAATCTTAAAGCAAATGATGTGATAAAAAAGAAATTCCCTACCTATACTTTGCCTGTGAGAGAAGGTTTGTTTAATCCAGAAAAAATGGAAGTCGTTGTGATGGTGAGCAAAAGCGACGTAGGAGTACGAGATGTGGTACAGGCTGCTTATAAAAAGGTGAAATAGTAAGTTGGAACGTTTAAGGTTTAATGTTTAAGGTGGAAAATTTAACGTTAAAAGTCGAAGGTTTAAGGTTTAGATAAATCAAATCATAAAACGAAAAAAGGGAACAAATCAGATTTGCTCCCTTTTTTTAATGCTAATTTAATTATTTGAATGTGCTTACAACGGTAAATCGATATGGGCTTACTTACACAATCAAAAATTAGATATTCTTACTCTTCTTCTGAAGTATCTTCCGAAACTACTGGTGCAGCAGGTGCTACTGGAGCTACTACTGGTGCAGGTTTTGCTTTTGGCATTGTTGCAACTGTCTCAGCTACTTCATCCAATTTTGGTGTGATACTTACCCAAGTTCTATCGTTTTTACCTCTTCTAAATGTAACAATACCTGCTACATTAGCATGAATGGTAAAATCTTTACCTAAGTATGCGTTTTCACCTGCGTGGAATTTAGTACCTCTTTGTCTCACGAGGATATTTCCTGCTTTTGCATATTGACCACCGAAGAGTTTAACTCCTAGTCTCTTACTATTACTATCACGTCCGTTATCCGAACTACCGACACCTTTTTTATGAGCCATTTTTTTTTCTTTTTTAGATTAGATAATGCCTGCTAACTTACTAGTTACGCAGAAATTGAATCAATTTTAATTTTAGTAAAACTCTGTCTGTGACCATTTTTCTTTTGGTAACCTTTACGTCTCTTCTTTTTGAAGACAACTACTTTGTCACCTTTTTGGTTGCCTATGACAGTGGCATTAACTTTGGCATTGCTCAATACCGGCGTGCCTACACGTACACTTCCGTTGTTATCTACCAGGAAAACCTGATCGAAACTAACAGATGCACCTGATGCGGCTTCTAACTGGTGGACGAAAAGCTCTTGGCCTTCTGTCACTTTGAATTGCTGACCAGCTATATTTACGATTGCAATCATGTGATTAAAAATTTTGTTATTTAAAAATGAGCACAAAAATACGTAATATTTATTTTCGTTGGGAATAAAACTTCTACTTTTTTAACGAAAACAACACATTTTTGTACAATTTATGGTAAAAATGATTGATTTTTGCATTAATTTTCTTTGACTTATTCATTTTTGCCTAGTTTTACTTGAAATCACCTTTACCATTAAGCTTGAATATCTAAATAATTATTTTGCAATAACAAGCGTTTTCCTTTTACCAATTACCCATAAAAACGAATATGTTGCCGACAATTATAGATAAGCCAAAAACTAAGATTGACAAAAAGGTCTTAAAAGCATTGCAAGCTTATGCATCTACAGAAGGTCAAGTAATTATACACGGTTTTGTCAAGACTCAGCATGAAGACATGTTTATCAGAATATGGCCTACAACCTTTTTATTTGATCAACATTCGAGTTACCAAAGTGAACTTGTGCATTATGAAAAAATAAGTGGATTTCCAACGTGGACCATGGTTCCATCCCATTCAGAATTTGTTTTTACTTTAATATTTTCAGCATTGCCCAAATCTTGTATAATCTTTGATCTAGTAGAACTCATTCCACAATCGAATGGATTTCAAGTGAAAAACATTTTACGCAATGATACAGATGT